TGTGTGTGTGTGTGTGTGTGTGTGTGTGTGTGTGTGTGTGTGTGTGTACTCCAGAGTGCACTGGAAAGGCCAGGTGGGGGTGGAAGTGCTGACTGATGCTTTGTCCCTACAGAACTTTCTGAAGGGGATGCAGGGTGGGGGACATTGGTTTCTCCCCTCCCACTCCTACCTCCCTACCCTTAGAGAGTCATGGACTGACTGGCATCACCTGTGGGGACGTTGTTGGAGGTTACAGGATAAGATGAGGAATAACCCTGAAAGACCAACAGACTCTGAATGGGACCACCGGGTTAGGAAGGCAGACCCTTGCTCTCTCTCCCTTTGGCATTAAGATGGGGGGGGGGCACTAGTTCTGGGCTGTCAGTCATCAGACTGAGGCTGAACGCTGTCACAAGCATCGCCCCACGTGTCCAACCGTCTCTCCCAGCCTCATCTTCCATCTCTCTGAATTCAGGGGAGGCTTCCCCGAGTCTCTGAATACAAATCCTGGTTCTGGAGGAAGCAGGGGCGGGCACAGCGTTCTGCTAGGTTCTGGAGCAGACATGTCCCTCCCTAAAAACAAGGCTGGACATTCTGGTGGGGTGGGGGAGCATTCCTTAGACCTGCAAGCTCCAACTTAATCAGAGCAGGATTTTCACTGACCAGGAGGCAGATTCCCATGGGCGATGCTCCTAAATGTCCCGGTTGCTTCGGCTGCTGCTCCGATGGATGTCTGTGTGAACATTAAATATGTACTCATTGGCCGTGACCGTGACTAATGCCAGCACCTATGGACTTTTCTCCCTTCTTGTTACTGTAACCCCGTCACCTAACACAACACAGAGCATTCAGTAGTTCTTAATCAAGGGTAGCAATCATGTCCGCAGAATGGTAATCACGCTGTGAGGTGGCTTCTCCATGAAAGATCAATGGTGGCGCCTCAGCCCCACGGACTGAAACGGCCTGGATGGACGGGTCGCAATCTGCCCTGGGGGTCAGAGGGGCTGTGCACACGAGGGAGCTCACAGATCCATCCGTGTGGCAGAGCATTGCTTCCTGGCCCTTGGAGCAGGGGGCTCAGAGGTCCTCTGGAGCAGTCACCATGGAGGGAGGGGAGCTGAGCACGGACCACTGTGGGGCAGAAATTCACAGCTAGGAAGGGATTGGAGAGCAAGCGGTGTCCCCGCAGGTCAGGGAACTGAGGGCCAGAAAGGGGAGCCCCCCCCAGAAAGCAATGTCGCCCCTCAAATGTTAGCGGCTTGTATTTCACGCAAACCCACATCGTGATCCCTTGTTGGGGTGGTGATGTCCTCACTGGGGACCCTCATTCCAGGGGTGGTGATTGCAGCCCCTTGTGCCCGCTCAGAGGGAAAACGAAGAAGCCGGAGACCAGGATTGCGGTGTGGGCATCATTAGTGGTCATGCATCCCCTGCCCCTACCTTGGCAGCAAGGTGGCGCCACAGCACACAGAGTGCTGGACTTGCATTTGGGAAGACCCAAGTTCCAACGATACCCAGACACTCCAGGCTGTGTGACCCAGGGCAGGTCACCGCCTTCTCTCAGCTTTAGCTTCCACATCTGTAGAATGGGGCAGTATGAGCACTGAGCTCCCAAGGTTTTTGTGAGGATACAATGAAGCAGCATTGTATAAATGCTGGCTACTACTACCACTTATTATAACAGCAGTGATGCTACCTACCAGGGGAGGGATGTCTGGTGGTCGACATCTGAGGGAGGGAGCGTGGCACAGCAAAGTGATGGCAGAAGCAGGGGGACCTAGAGAGGGACAGAGGAGCCAGGGCCCGGATCCAGTGGCTGGATCACTCTTTCGCCCAGCGATGGGAGGCTTTCGCCATCTGGCCCAGCCGAAGCCACTGATTTCTTAGCCACGACCACTGTCAGAGCCCCAGGGGCTCTGCCAAGGCCCCCAGCCGCCAGCAGCCGAGCCGGTCGTAGAGCAAAACCTCAGGGTCCCTGTTCCTGTAATTTCCCCACCACGTTACTCTCGTTCTCTGAGACCTGTGACCCCTGTGTTCTCTTAGGGGCCCGAGTGGTTATCGGTGATTGCAAAGGTAGCCACGGCCAGCTTCCCTGTGACTCCCACCACCGCACAGGCTGCTCAGAGGATTGCCAGGTTTTTCTGAAGCTGGATAGTGATAAGTGGGCCCATGGGCTTGAGCCAGCCGAGCAGACTGATGAGCAGACCTCTGCCGCACTTCTGGGCTGAATTCTGTAAGAAGTATAAGCTGCCCAGGCTGCCTGCGTGGTGGCCCAGACCTGTGCCATCTCCTTGGGCAGCCTCCGGCTCAGCTACCTCCTCATGTCTCGGCACAATGCCAGGCTCTGTGCCCCTGCACCATGAAACCAATGCCCACACAGAGGCACCCATGGCTCGAGGGAGGCAGAGAAGGCTAGGCTGAGCATGGCAGGGTCTGCTCGCTTCCAGGGCTTGCTGAGGTCCCCTCCGATGACTCTCTGATGGGGATTCCCAAGACCCTCTTGGCCAACACTCTCCAGGGTGCCTGAAACAAGGGACTCTGTCATGCAACCCAGCTCTCTTTTCCTAGAGAAAAACCAGTCCCTTGTGGCCTGCGGGCCACGAGCATTATGTGCTCCTCAGGATGTGAACTAATTTCTAGCAAATGGCTACACGCTCCAATGAACTGGACAGTGAGCAGCAGCTCGGACAATCCTGGTCGTTAGAAGTCACAGAACAAGTTGTTATTCAGGGAAAGTAAATCTCTTAGCAGCTTCTGAGAAAAGCAAGAGAGAATTGACCGGTTTAAATGGAGAAATAACACACTTCACTCAAAATCTGACCACTGAAAAAATGCACTTCAAGAACTCAGCTGGCCTGCTCCCCCATGCTGAGCAGGTTCACGATCAGCAGGAGAGGTGATGGGATATTAGGGAAAGCCATACCAGTCCCCCTCTGATGAGGATCACATTAGGAGACTCAATCACTCAGAATCAATGCCAATATCCCTGCCCAGAAAGTCCTCTCAGTCACACCGGGTGGGGAGTGTAGCCAAAAGGGCCTTTGGAAGGCCCTGTCCTGGGCTCATAGGAGTAAACCTTAGGGCCCTGGAATTCTTCAGGAAAACCCCCAACAGAACAATCCCTGCCCTCAGGCCCTGGGGGGAGGGAAGGGAGTGCAGATACACACCCATAAATCGACAATAATGCTGATGATGACTGCAGCGCTCATGGCCTCCCAGGCACTGGGCGAAGTGCTTTAGAAATGTTATTTCAGGGGCAGCTAGGTGGCGCAGTGGATAGAGAACCAGCCCTGGATTCAGGAGGATCTGAGTTCAAATGTGGCCTCAGACACATGCCACTCACTAGCTGTATGACTCTGGGCAAGTCATTTAACCCCATTGCCTGGACAAAAAAAAAGAGGGAAAAAAAGAAAGAAATGTTACTTCATTTGGTCCTCACAAGAAGTTAAGTGCTATTTTCGTCTCCATTTGACAGTGGAGGAAACTGAGGCAAATAGGGGTTGAGTAATTTGCCCAAGATTACACAGCTAGTAAGTCTCTAAAGTCAGATTAGAACTCTGATTGTAATACTGGTGATTCAAAGAGGTATGGAACAGACCTCCAAAGAGATGTGTGGAGGGCAGTGATCAGGACAATCTTCACGTGGATGGGACAGCTGTGCGCTGAAGGAAGATGGGTGTTCTGTGAGGTCGAGAGAAGGAGATACATAGATATAGATATTGGAGGGGAGAAGAGAGGAGGGGAGGGGAACGGGATGGCCTAGGACAGAGGTGGGCACAGGGAGGGGTCAGCTATCGAGGAGGAGACAGCAAAGAAACGAGAAGGAGAAGGAGCAGACAGACACAGACGGGAGGGGAGCCACTTCTGTTCAGCCACAGGACTGTAAGGAGAAACCAAAAGTGTAGGAAAGGGACAGAATCATGGTTCTGAAAGCTGAGGGAAGACAAGTAGAAAGAAGGCTGAGAAGGAGCCTGGAGCCAGCTATTGGGTCTCCTTGGAGGGAGCACTTTGGTTGGGAAGTTAGTATGGAAGGGAGTGAGTTTGTGATGTCCGAAGCCAGATCTCAAAGCCACACTGGGGCTAATGTCCAGGGGTGTGAGGGGCGCAGTGGATAGAGTGCTTGGGCCTGGAGCCAGGAAGACCTGACACTTAGTATCTGTGTTACCCTGGGCAAGTCACTTAACCTCTGCCTGCCTCAGTTTCCTCAGCAGTAAAAGGAGCTGGAAAAGGAAGTGGCAAACCACCCTCAGTATCTTTGCCAAGAAAACCGTTTCCACGGGCAGCATTAGCATGTTCTGGTCCGCAGGGTCACAGACAGTGGGACTCAGATGAATGACCAAACAACAGGCTGATGTCCATAGAGTTCAGTGCTTCGTAACCTATGGGCTGTGACCCCTGGGGGGCCATAAATGGAGAGCAAGGGGGGCCCCAGTCCATGACCAACCACGGCCACAGTGACTTTTATTTAGCTCCGGCAAAATACAACAACTGAGGGGAGGGTCTCATCCAATCCCGGGCTGGGGGAGACCAGGGCTGTATCCAGGGGAAGCTCTGCACTGGGTAGATGGGAGCCTCCTACACCCTGGCAGGACGAGCAGCCTGGAGCCTTTAGGGGGCCCCACCCTCCTCAACATAAGCCCCTAGTGGATTCTTCTCCCCAGTGGAGCTCCCCTCCCAATGACTCTCCCTTCTCCTATGATTCTCTCCTCCCCAAAGACCCTCCCATTCCAGAGCAGATCTTGTCTAATGACTCTTCAGCAGCACACCAGGTAACTCTATCCCAGGTGAAGTAACTTGCTTTTCATATAATCTGGCCCCTGGATCCTCCCCCTCCTGTTTCCCCCAATCCCCAATCCAAAATCTTCACATGAAGCCAGTCAGAGCAGTTAGATTACATCTGAGTGAGCCTGGAGCTCATTTCACCATTCCGTGGCCAAAGTTCCACCCTATTCATTTAGGCCTTTCCTGAGTGGTCTGGCTCGCTTGTGTGGAGGAAGCCTAGCTT